CCTTTAAAGGTAGTATTGCTATATCCCAGCAATAAATCTGACAGTGCCTTCCAGTGCACTCCTGCAGTGAGTGCTTGAGGACCCATGAGGAACTGGGGTCCAGTCCAGTGCTCGCTGGGGTTGCTCAGAGAAGCTCTGAGACATGTTGGAGGCTGGCCAGAATGGCTGAGGCGGAATAAACAAGCACACCTGCACTGTTGGATGGGGCAGGGGCTGGCCCTGCTGAGCATTCCTGGAACTCAGTGGCCATCAGCATCTGTCTTAGACTTGCATTCACTCATCCACTGGTACCCCCTCCTGCATTTGGGGCACAAGGAGTAGGCTTCATGCCTCTCAGGGGAAATCTACTATTGTCCCTCACCAGGTTGGGCAAGGTATGTGGTGACCAGCCCCTTTTCTTCCAATCTCCAGTCATGTATCCCTTCTTTCCCCTTGAAAACAAGCTCCATCATTTTGGGGCTTGTCTGAGGCCATAAAGAGGCTCTAAGGTGGCCTCCTGCACACAGGAGGGAGCCTGTGTCAGCATATGATCTAATAATATCTTCTGGGAGACTTGTTTTTGTGAAGGCCCCTTTACACCATTTATTTGCATTTTCAAAAGCCACTTGTTTAACAACCACCTGTCCCGCTTCATAATGATGTATAATGTGGGAGGCCACCTGTAAAAGCCAACTGACAAAATCTTGGACAGGCTCATCAGGACCCTGTCTGATAGCAGTTGTACCCATGTTTTTCCCCTTTCAATGGGAGCTCTCTTCAAGCTTGCAGGGCCGAGAGCTGCATCTGATCGTAAGCTGGTGGGACATAAGTCAGCTGGTTAACCAGAGCCTCCTGATTACCCTCTCCAAAGAGCCTGTCCATAGTAGTGGGAACCGTGTGCTGCCAGTTGCATGTGGTTTGTTCTGCACACTGTTTAACATACACAGACTTCCACAACAAGTAATCACTGGTGGACAAGCAAGCCTCAGCCAGGGCTTTGTAATCATCTGGGGGCATAGGCATAGCAACTACCGCCTCCAGCAACCCATAGAATAAGGAACCATGGGCCCATAGGTGGCCATTTTTAACTCTTTTAAAGTTTTAAGAAGAATGATTCATGTTGTCTCAGCCTCTGTCCTGGGTTATTTGGGTAGAGAACCTCTAGGATGTGGTATATTCTAGGACTCAAATCTTCCAAGGCTCCCACTTGATCGTGAGCTTGCTGCTGGGCCATCTGTAGGGGGAAAGCGGGCCTATAAGCAATGTGGACACCTGCGGCATGGCTAAAGTGCCCTTTAAGAAAGTACAGTGGGCCGCTTTGGATTTCACCCCAAGTAGCATGATGGAGTCCAATTTTGCTTGCTGTGGTGCAGAAATGAAAAGACCAGCCAGAGCTGCAAGCCCTGACTCATTCTCTGCATCAGAGTCTGCCTTGTCTCCAGGGTCCTGAGGAGCAATCAGAAAACTCAGAGGAGGGCTCCTGGGTTGGGGCTGCAGGCTTCACCTGGGCCAACAGTTCCATTAGCCCCTCTGCCCCCTCATTAGCCTCAAACCGCCTGGAGGCAGCTTTCATTTTCTCATAACCCTTAACTGTCTGTTTAAGGTATGACACCATTTTCGGTGCTGCGTCATCAATGGCACATTCCATTGCAGGATGGGCATCCAAACACTCATTAACCAATGACCACAAAGAAAAGGTAAAGATGGGAAACTTGTCCGGACCCTCAGCAGTGTAAGGGTCTGAAGCCAGGGAGAGAGGAGGGAGATGAAGAAAAGATGACCAAGAGACCCAGATTATTCTTGAAGTTTGAGACCAGGTGGAACCATAGCTTGTCCGGAGCCAGCGGCCACCTGCAGCCCCTGACGCTATTTATTTATGGTGGAAGGCAAACAGGAAGAGAAGGCAGGGCAAATGGTGCTGCATGACCTATGTGGCCTAGGCGTAATATACCATGATTGTTTCCTGATGGGGCATGAGCAGGAAGGGAACAGGGAAGCTGTGCCATCCATGGTCTAAAGGGAGTAGGAAGGAGAAAGGGAGCACAGAGAAGGCGAAGGTCCATCCTCAGGCTCGGTCTGCGGCACCATGTGCCATCAAAGGACAGGAAATGAAAAGCCACACACTTGCATTGCTTGAAAGGCTAACTGAAGAGATTTTTTTTTAAATGTCATTTGACCAGGTCATAAAATATATTAGTAAACAGATAGTCGGGAAAAATAAACAAAATGATCAATGAGTTCATAGAAGACACTAATAAAAAGATAGAAGAGCAAAACAGAATAATGAAAAACACACATGGCCATCATAGCAAAGAATTACATCCATAAAAAGGCTGCCAACAGAAATTCAGGAGGTAGAAAATTCTACTGAAAGTATGGTTGACAGAAGTGAGCAGTGTGCAAACAGAGTGTCAGAGCTAGAAAACCATGCTGTTGTCACTGACCATTAATGAGAGATAACTTAGAAACTAAAGATGTGCATGAAAAATGGATTCCATAGCTACTAGATGATGGAAAGAAGAATAATCTAAGATTAATTGGAATTAAATAATAATTGGAAGATAAAACAAACGGTTTTGAAATTCTGGTACCCAAAATAATAGCAGAAAACTTTCCAAATAAGGGCAAAGAATGCAACAGAGATAAGTGAGGCATACAAAATCCCAAATAGCCACAAAGTGGAAAGAACCTCTCTGTGACACATCATGGTCAAAATCTTAGAATCTTAGAAGCAGTCAGAAAAAAGCAACAAATAACTCATTAAGGAAAAGCTGTTACAATTAAAGCAGTTTTTCCATGCAATGTTAACCTGCAAAAAGCAGGTTCAGCTCTCCTATTTTTAGACAAAGTGGACTGTAAGCCAAAACTGATCAAAAAAGGCAACGTCACTACATACTGGTTAAAGAAAGAAACACCAAAAGATCACCACACAACAGAGCTACACAACAGCACCAAATAACAGTACACCCAGCTTTATTAAACAAGCATAATGGATGTAAAACCAGATAATCATAGCCATGATTATAATGGGAGACCACAATACTCCCTTATCATGAATAGATTGGTCAACTAGAAAAAAAAAAAAAATCAACAAAAGGATATCAGAGTTGAAAAACCTTTTGAAGAAAGGGACTTAATGGGTATCTATAGAGTGTTCCATTCAACAACAGATTATACATTCTTCCCAGAAGCACATGGGACTTTCTCCAAAATAGACCACCTACAGGCTGATAAATCTTAAGTAGATATAAAGAATTGAAATTAAAACATGCACATTGTCAGATCATTATGCAATGAAACTAGAAATCAATGACAAAAGGAAATCCAGAAATTTTGCAAATGGATGGAAATTTTTTAAAATGCTCTTAAACAATGGGTTAAAAAAAAAAACAAGGAAGAAAGAAGACAGTTTCAAGAACTAAATGATAAGACCACTATATCATGCCAGAACTTTTGGGACACACTGAAAGCAGTCCTAAGGAGGAATTTTATAGTTGTGAATGCCCACAGCACAAAAGTAGACCAAGCACAAATAAATAACATAATGATTCGTTTCAAAGACCTATGAAAACAAGAACAATCCAAACCCAAAGCAAGTATAAGGAAGGGAATTATCAAAATCAGAGCAGAAATCAATGAAATGTAGACCAAAAGGCAATGCAAAGAATTAATGAATTAAAGAATGAATTCCTGAAAAAAATAAACAAAGCAGACAAACTCATAGCTGATGTTAGCAAAACAAGGAGAGAAAAGAAAAAATAAATACAATTTGAGGTTCGCTGTTTTGGGCTGTAAGTCCTAATGAAGACCTTACAGACATTTAAAAATTAATCATGTCTCTTTTTGCCTATTAGTGGAAAGTAGTTACTACAAAATCCATTGGTATCTACTAGCCAAAAATGAAAAGATTTACTGTCTATCTCAATACATGAAATATATAGACCATTTCATTAAGTAAATAGGATTTCTTCTCAATTTTTTAATTACTAGGTCCATAAAATAAGCAACACTGACTTTTTTCTTGTCATTTCCACTAACTTACTTGTAGGATTTATGCTTCCCTTAGGTATTGTCTCTACTGGATTAGAAGCCCTGAATTCTAAAGTACAGGGTTAGTGCCTACATGGAAATGAAGCAAGGGCTTACACTCAATCTGACAGTTTAAATTAGTAAGTCCCTTTGGGTTTTCCACATCCATGAAATACTGGCAAAGAAAGGAGTTACAATGGCCATCACTATTCTCCTGAAGGGTAAGGCTACTGCTGCATAATTGGGCAGAAAATTCACAGTGATACCTCAGTGTTTCATGCTTAGCATCCTGAAAAGGGCACAGCAGCCAAGGCTCTGAACCCTCAGCATGGAAGGTGATAATAACCATGACAGGTAGTAGCTGGCTACAGGTGAAATAGTGACACAGAATAATGGAACTCGAAAATGTCACTGAAAGGAAGAAGTACCAAATAGTTATTACAGCTTGTGACCAGCAAAGACCACAAAGATTAGTTTCTTTTTTTATTTTTCTCATTGAGTTTATTGATACATTTTAGGTATACAGTACAGTTACATTCATCATTGGGATCATTGAGAAGGGTTCCTTTCTCCCCGGAACCCCGCCAACATTTGCTATTGAGTGATTTCTTGATAGCAGCCATTCTTTCTGAGGTGACGTGGAATCTCAGTGTTGTTTTCATCTGCATCTCTTGAATGAGCAGTGATGTGGAACATTTTTTCATATATTTACTTGATGCTTTTCCTTCTTTGTCTGAGAAATGTCTGTTCATTTCAGATGCCCATTTTTGAATGGGTCTACATTTGTGGGGGCTGATTGTTTTGAGTTCTTTATATATTCTCGATAATAGGCTTTTGTCTGAGGAGCAGCTGATAAAAATTTTTTCCCATGTTGTAGGTTGTCTTTTAGTTCTGTTGATGGTTTCTTTTGCAGTGCAGAAGCTTTTTAATAAGATGAGATAGGATCTTGCACCTTTCCATGACAGATCTTGGTTCTCATTTTTTTCTCCCATGTAAACTGTAGTTTCTTACATTTAAGTATTTTCTTTCTGTCTGCATAATAGAAAGAAAGGAATAACTGTTATGAACTACTTCCATACTTACTATACTATTACTACTACTTACTATAATTATAAAATTCATTTAAAACAGGTCTTTGAAAAGCATTTACAATGAAAAATAGACCATCATTTAACATTCTTATAATATAAAGCACATAAATTGCACAAGTACCTAAAAGTGTCTTGCTCGGTAAATCCAACATCAGATCTTCTGTTTTACAGATTGAAAAATTAAATAGTAAAAGTTTATAATATATTGGCAAAAACAGTAGCTCATACAGCCAGGACTTTTATCAAAATGAAAAGATTTACACAAGAATAATTAGATGACACATCAATTCCTCAGTTCTTAAAAAAACAAAAACAAACTAAAATACATGTTACAAACATTTCAGATTTGGCAATTCTTTGGAAAGTTAACCATATAAATAACAAGTGATGCAATCATTTCAGTATTAGTTTTGCCAATATAAGTAAAATCATGTGTCTATATGTGTACAAAGGTGACACAAACTTTCAGCTTATTTGTAGCAGGAGAAACCTGTAAAGTTCCATGTAGGTCAACAAAGCAGTCTTTTAAAAGTTCAACCACATACCTCATGTTCCATAGCATTGTTTTCACTTCTGTTTTCCAAAACAGTAGAGGACTACTCTGCACTTTTACTTGATAGTAGATGTTATGAAAACAATACAAGCTCTTCAGTGGATGTCTTCAAGTCCCTGGAAGTTATCCAAGGAAGCTTTTTATTTTTATTTTTGACACTGAAGTAGAAACCTGGTCATTACTGGAAGACATCTGGAGAGCTTCTGCCTTTCTGCAGAAGGAAAAGTAATAGTAAGCAGATAAACTAGACAAATGTGACTTAAAATTGTGCTGCAATGAGTGTATTCCTGTCCAAAACACACCTGGGAGTACTGTGATTAAAAACAGCCTTAGACTATGGGAAGAAGGCACAACTTTGACATTTTGAAATACTGTAACAGGTCTCTTTGAAAAGCAAAGTACTTTCCTATACTATCATTCAGCCTCCACTACTATAATG